CCAAAAGCCTCCTCCCTCTTCCCGATTTCCTCAGCCGCACACAGAAACCTCATGCCCGATCTCCTCTCCAGCGACCAAGCCCCCCGATCCGACCTCTCCTCTGACTCCACATGAACGACTCCCTGCCCTATCCCATCGCTGCTTCCGATCAGTTCGACCCGAACACACACAGAGAGAGAGAGAGAGAGAGAGAGAGAGAGAGAGAGAGAGGAAGCCATCTCTTACCTCAACCGAGCTCTCCCTACCCGAAGCCAACCCGATCTCCCTCAAGGCCTGCCGATCTGCTTGCATAGCCCCTGTCCGATCCTCTCTAAAGGCCGCCCGAACCCCTTTAACCGAGCCCTAGTCCACTTAAACCTAAAGCTCAACTCACTCATTCACTCACTCCAACTCAGCCCCAACTCAGCAGCCTAACTGCTCAAGGTTATCCCTACTCCTAATTACTATTAGTTATAATTAAGTTATTATAATGATTCATAATTATAATTATTATTAATTATGATAATTATGTTATTATAATTAATTAATAATTATAATTAGTGTTAATTATAATAATTATTTTACTATTATCATTAATTATAATTAATTTATATTAATTATAATTTTTTAATTATAATTAATATAGATTAATTATAATTAATTATTTATTAATTATACCTAATTACCACTAATTATAATTAATTGTTGTTAATTGTAATTAATCTTAAATTAATGATAATTAATTTTCATCAATTATAATTAAGTTTAATTAATTATAAGTAATTATAATTAATTCTTCATTAATTATAAATGATTTAATTAATTATAATTAATTTCTATTAATTATAATTAATTACTCCTAATTATGATGGGTTGCCAACATAAAAATGCTTCTCTCCCTTGATCCTCGAGCCGACACCGTCGACCCCGCGCAGGTATAACTTCCAAACCCTAAAACTCCGAGAACCCGTTTCGATGCATGCGGCGAGACAAAACGACCACCTATACACGCTTTTCTTAGCGTGGTGGGAGGGAGTGCGTCACGACGCTTGCGACGAAGCGGGTAATCACCTAAAATTCCTTCT